GCATTAGAGCAGATTATGCTAAGTGAAGCTAGCCAATCCCTAAAAAACAAATGCCAAATGTCTTCTTTGATATAAGGAAAGTAACTAAGAACAGAGTAGGGACGAAGAACAGGAGAAGAAGATTAACATTTAACAGGGATGAGAGGTGGGAGGGAAAGGGAGAGAGAAGGTAAATTGCACGGTAATGGAAGGAGACCCTCAGGGTTATACAGTGGAGGGGGTAGAGAGAGAGGAGGGGAGGGGAGGGGAGAGGTGGGGAGGGGGGAGGGTGGATGATGGGAAAGGCAGCGGAGCACAACAGACACTAGTATGGCAATTTGTAAATCAATGGATGTGTAACTGATGTGAATCTGCAATCTGTGTATGGGGTGAAGGTGGGAGTTCATAACCCACTAGAATCAAAGTGTGGAATATGATATGTCAAGAAATTTGTAATGTTTTGAACAACCCACAATAAAAAATTAAAAAAAAAAAAAAAAAAAAAAAAAAGTAGATTGGTGGGGCTGGGGTTGTGGCTCAGTGGTAGAGTACTCGCTTAGCGCAGGTTGAGGCACTGGGTTCAATCCTCAGCACCACATAAAAATAAATGAATAAAAATAAAGGCATTGTGTACACCTACATCTAAAAATATTTTTAAAAAGTAGACTGGTGTTTGAGAGTGCTGGGGGAAGGGATAATTAGGGTTTAACTGCTTATGGGTGCAGGGTTTCTTTTTGGGGCAATGAAAATGTTCCTAAATTAGGTAGTGGTAATAGTTGCACAACTCTGTAAATACATAAGAATCAATTAATCATACACTTTCAAAGGATGGACTTTATATGTGAATTGTATCTCAATTATGAAATTTTAATCATTAAAGTCAATAAATATTCACTGAGGAACATTAATAAATGAAAAAAGTTATTACCACTAAATTCATCAAATGTTTTTCTCTGCTTATTATCAATTTTTTTTATCTGTCATAATTTACTTCGATTTTATTTGGTTTGTTTGGCCACATTTCTTTTTCATTTGCATGCACACCCAGTTATTTGAAAAGCACACATACCCCAAGAAAAGAATCATACAAAGACACACAGTCACACCAAGATAATGAAAGAATGCTCCCTCCCACTCATAAACATAATTTTTATTTTCACAAAACACTCAATAAAGTTGAGAGAGAATACATCAAAAATTGGGAAAGAGTGGATAAAATACAAATTATTTGATTAGGTTTTAAGGACAGTAGAAAGTAATATCCAAAATATTATTTTGAAATTATTATCAATTTTTCATAATAGAAAAAAAAGAATAAAGGAACAGACAGTATCAATCATAACAGAGAAGCAAAATATGATTAGAACAAAAAGTCCCACTAAATTTTGTAATGTGGAAGTCACTGGTGACCTTACAGAGTACAGATCCCAGTGAGGAAGATAAAGAAACCAATCTACTAGAAGACGAAGAAGAATCAATAAGTGGTTACTCAATTACTTTCAAAATGGGAAATAGCATAACATTAGAATCATGTTGGGTCAAAGAAAATCCCCCCCAACATATATATTTTGGTGTGCGCATGACTGTATGAATGAAAGATATTTGAGAGACACTAACAATAAAGGAGAAGAAGAAAATGACCAAGAGAAAGGACTATGAAAAACAGAGGGAAAAGGATCCAAAGTCCAAGTGAAAGTGCTGGTCTTGAAGCAAAGGAGTGCATTCTCTCTATGCAGATAATAGTAAAAACAAGAGTGGGTATAAGTGAAATTCAATCTGTAGGTGTCAGTATGAACTGATAGTCTTGATTTGTTCAATGAAGTAGGAACCAAATTTAACAGTTGAAAGTGTGAATATGTATTAGAGCAGGAGCCTTGAGGACCAAAGTGAAAATATGGAATTGTTACTGAGATCAGAAGATTGAGTTAATCAGGTTCAAAGAGAGAAAGATGGCTAAGTAGTAACAAAACACCCAACAGAAGCTGGAACCTGAATTGGTAGTGGCTCTAATCTATTATTCTCTTCAATCCTACTCAATAGTCTTTCATGTTAGAATTCATAAAGTCAAATGGGAGGGCTGATCCTGGTCTGGGTTTTTATTGAGGCAGGGAGGCAAGGAGACAGGGAGACATGGAGACAAGGAGTCAAGGGACTTAAGGGTAAGCAAAAGTGTGATTGGAGCCATGGGTTACAGGATATAGACCAGTAAAATAAGATGTCAGGCTAGTCCCAAAAAAGAACAGAAGCTGGTTGACCTTATTTCACATGACACTGCTCTTTAGTTTCATGGTGGTTATAAGACAAGGTTCTCATCATTTTGGCTTTTATTGTGGGATATAAGAACCCACATTTCCCATGTCACCAAGATGTCATCTAATAATGAAAAGGGACTCCTCCAAAAGGAAACTCCATTGCTATTAGGGAATGGAATGGCAAATGAATAATAATTTCATATGATGTGGTGGCATACTATTCCAAGAAGTATCATAAAATTATAAACTGTTAAAGATCAAATAGGGTCAGTCCATGGGCTCTAAGCCTTTACCCACATCCACCCTCCATTCTAATGTCTCCAAGTCTTTGTTTATGCTTCTCACTCTGCCCAGAATATTCATTCCCAATTTCAACCTTTCTTTCCAGCTTTTTAACTGCTGTGACTAAAAGATCTGACCAGAACAACTTTAAAGGAGGAAGAGTTTATTTGAGGGCTCACTGTTTCCAGAGGTCTTAGTCCATAGAAAGCTGGCTCCCTTCCTCGGGGCACAAGGTGAAGCAGATCATCATGGTGGGGAGGGTGGCAGAGGGAAGCAGCTCATGTGGTGATCAGGAAGCAGAGAGAGAGAGAGGTCTCCACTGGTCAAATACAAATATATACCCCCAAGCCATGCTCCAATTCCTACTCCCTACCACTTCAGTTACCACTCATTAATCTCTATTAGTGGATTAATTCACTGATTGGGTTAAGGCTTTCATGACCCAATCATTTCTCCTCTGAACCTTCTTGCATTGTCTCACATGTGAGCTTTTGGAGGAAACCTCACATCCAAACCATAACACAGCCTGTCTCTAATATCAGGAGCTCATTTTTATCTTGCTATCTCCTATAATGCCAGGTACAGTGTCTGGCAATGTCACAAATGCAGATTTAGTTCAGAGGAAATAGAAAAAAATCACTAAGGGCAAAATGATCAGGGAAGGCTTCACAGGGAAAGTGTGACATTTAAGCTGTCCTTAAAAATAAGGAATATGCTATCATCAAAAAGATAATTTTAACAGGGGAAATGACATGTGACAATGAATGGAGGAATAGGCAGTAACCCAATATATATAAAACTAAGGGTTCCTATTACAACAGTACATAATCCTGGCAAACCAACAATGATCTGTGTCTTTTTAAATATATTTTTATTGGTGCATTATAATTACATATAATAGTGAGATTTGTTGTTGCATTCTCAAACATGCACACAATATAACAATATAATTATTGATGTGGGTCTTGAATTTAGCATTTGGACCAAATGTATTAAGCCGCTGATTCTCAGAGGTTTGAGGAGAGACAGGGAAAATATGGGGAAAAAGCAATGGAGCTTTATTCAGTTGTAATGATAAAACTGCTAATGTTAAAAAGTACCAACTTTAGGGCTGGGGTTATGGCTCAGTGGTAGTGCACTCGTCTGGCATGTGTGAGGCATTGGGTTTGATCCTCAGCATCATATAAAAAATAAATAAACAAAATAAAGATATTGTGTCCATGTAAAACTAAAAAAATATGTTTTAAAAAGTACCAACTTTAATCTCCAACATTTTGCAATGAAGCAACTGAGAGCCAAAAAGATGAAATTACCTACCTAAGGAGACACAACTAGGGAGAATAAGTTCAAAACTACAATTAGAACCACTGTCTCTCAATTTCCACTCTAGTTCTCCTTCTACCACACACAGAAAGAAACTGTCAGATGGCCAGACTGAGAGAGAGCATTCATAAATACAAAAAGGAAATACAACATAAAGGCATGTGGCTTGAAGAAATATAGTACCATTATCAATCCCTGTGAATTTATCCCAACAGACAGAGCAAGTATATGGAAAATATAAAGTAACAATGAGAATAAGTTTTACACAACTGAGACAGGCAGATTTATTGATAAATCCTCTAAGAAATAACTGTATAGATTTATACTTTTCACATATATTTGTATTTGATCTTCAGAGAAACACTGAAGGAGACAGGAAAGGTATTATCTTTCCCTTTTTTACAAATAAGGACATTGAAATATGCTAATTGGTTAAGAGCCAGAATTCATCCCATTACTCTTTCCACAACCTTCAAGACACAGAAAATCTCCAAAATAGACCAAAACAAGCATGAAACACTCTAGTTTACAGGTAAAAGCTAGATTTATTCAAGTGAATAAGTAAGTAAAGTCAAGGACTGAGTGGAAAATGGGTTAACTGGGAATATGAACAGGTATGTTATGAAATAATAGTACTATATGCTCCCACATTTTTAATTGTGAATATTATTTCTTCAGAGTAATTATTTGTTGAACTCAATAATTTAGTGGCAGGAATTTTAATCTACACATGCATTGTCTGTGATTGGTAAATATATCTTTATTAGGTCAACATCCTCAGGTTACAAACCATATTTCACAAGCCCTGCTAGAAATAGGAAAAACACTGAAATTGCTCTTCCTGGGATGATGTCAAACAGCAAACTTATATTACCTACATGGCTGTGACATATACAGTGCATCTTTTAGTGGAAACATTCCTAGTGTTTAACACTTAATTGCAAACACAGACAAACACAAATCATTCTCTCCATCCCCTCCCCACCACCCTCTCTCTCTCACACACACACACACATAACCACAAACCTGGCTTTTGCCTAGGCCTTTGTTATTTGAAACACTGACCCATTTTTTGTGATATAAGATGTAGAAGACCTTAAGGTCTTACTCATATTGACACACACATATATATATATACATATATATATATATATGTGTGTATATATATAATATTTTAATTTAAATTGAAAAATATTTAATATTTAAAAATATTTAGAAATATTTTATTTTAAAAAATATTTTTAAATTGTAGATCGCCCCAATACATATTTATCTTTATTGTGGTGCTGAGGATCGAACCCTGTGCCTCACACCTGCCAGACGAGTGCACTACCACTGAGCCATAATCTCAGTCCCTCATATTGACTCATTTCTAATGAGATATTGTTAAGAATGCAAAGAAGGTTAGAGATCTCTGATATCTAATAGGAGTTAGTGAGAAACCTGTAACCTAAAATGAAACTTAAGTATGGAGCCTCTTAAAACCTGGCAAATCAATTGGAATTTGAAGGCCAAAAAATTGAGGTACCTTCAGACAGCAGGGAGAAATGAATACCAATGACATTGTAAAGGCAAGGACTTGATACACTGAGGAAATCAATAAGTATAATAGTATGTCAAAGTGGAATATGAATATCTGCAACATGGAATGCTTTTAAAGATCTGAAGGAGAACAATGTAGGGGAGGAGGCTCCAGAGTCCAATATACTTCCTGTAAGAATACCTGGCTTTAAGCAGGTCTCTAAATAAAGAAGCCATAAGAAAGAATCTTATTAATAATTACTTTAAAGTAGCATGATGTCTTCCCCCACATTCAATGTGTACAACAGTGTCTTAGAGTCCAATATGGGGGGAAATATCAGATTCAATTAGGTATTTAACAAAAGGACAGATTACTGTTACAGGTATAGGAGATACAAAGAAGTATAAAGTCTTGGTCTCTGCCTTCAAAAATATTACCATCTTAGTTAAGGTAACAAGATAATCTACAGCAAAGTGGTGCCAAATGAGGGGTTTAGAAAAGTGATGAGACAGATTAATGGGTCAGGAAGAATTTACTAAGTGGTTAAGGTTTAAGTTGAGTTTTGAAGGTCTTGGAGAGCTCCAAGAGACAGGTTGCAAGGGAGGATATTCAACTTTGGGAAATAGGTCTGTCAGTGTACCAATCTGGATGAAACAGGACTAAACAGAGAGAAACTAAAAGAATGGCAGAACAGTGCAAATATGAATTCACAGATAATCAGAAGGCCAGTTTAAGAAGTTTGAGTTGGTTGCAGTGGCACACACTTATAATCCTAACTTTTTGGGAACAAGGAAGGAGGACTGCAACTTTGTGAAGAGCCTGGGCAAAAGACTGGAGATGCAGCTCAGTGGTAGAATACTTGCCTAGCATGTGTGAGGTCTGGAGTTCAATCCCCAGTACTGGGGTGGGGGAGGGAAAGCAAAAAGAGAAAAAGAAAAAATGAATTTTGAACTTAAGTGGGGTGGTAGCACAGACCTGTAGTCCTAATTACTTGAGATGCTGAGGCAGAAGGACTGCTTGAGCCTAGGAGTTTCAGGCCTGTCTAAGCAACATAGCAAGAGCCTATCTCCACAAACAAAGAATATTGAATTTCATTCTATAAGCAATTGGGGACATAGCAAAGATTTCTGAGGAGGGGAATGACATGACTCCGTGGCACTTAAAAACAACAGTCTAGCTGAGGTGTGTTTATGAAGTAAAGAACAAAGCAATTCTCAGCTATATAGCCACTGCAGGTCAGAGATAATAAGGAGCTGTGAAAGAATCAGATTTCCTTGGTTGAGAGAGAACTTAAAGATTATCTAAGCTAAACAATGAGAGTGGTATCAGTAGGAACAGAAAGAAAGGGAGTGGTGTAAGAGAACATTAAAAATCAACATCACAAACCAGGCATGGCAGCACCACCTGTAATCCTGGTGACTTGAGGGGCTGAGGCAGGAGGATCATGAGTTCAAGGCCAGCCTTGGCAATTTAGCAATCTGCTTGAATCAAATGTATGAAATATGATATGTCAAGAGCTTTGTAATGTTTTGAACAACTAATAATAAAAAAAGAAAAAAAAAACATATAAGAGCTTAGGAAAAAAAAAAGACTTTGTCTTGAAATAAAAAATAAAAGGGCTGGCAGTGTAGTTCAGTAGTAGAGTGTCCCTGGGTTCAATTCCCAGTACAGTGGAGAAAAAAATAGACCAACTTCCTTATGTAAGAAACTCTTCCCCATCTTAAGCATCTAGACAATATAGCAAAAGTGTTCTAGAATCATTCACTGCTTCTAGGCACACAGCCTTTTGGACTGATCTAAAACTCTTAGCAATGTTCAAGCTTTTACTGCCCTTGTAGGCCATTGGTGTGGCAGAATTAAATAAGAATAACGATCCACAAACCACAAAATAAAATTCAAAAGTAATCTCCTTTTAAAAATCAATTTCATTGTGGCTGTCTGGTTTCAACCCCTGCTATCTGCCATCACTCCAATAAAAATTACTCTTCAAGTCTGAAGTGCAGGCCCATTGACAGGTGGATGTACATGGAGAAAATTACTCAGCAACCTATTATTTTAAAGTGGTTTCGGCAGCTAGCAGCAGGGAAGTCCCTAGGATGCTATAAAAGACAGGGAACCACCCTCTCTCTTGGCTACTCCAAGCATACAGCACTATCATCTGGCTGAAGAACTGACAACAGAAATCTATTTCCTCTCTCCCCAAAAGACACAGAGTTTATGAATTGATTTTCCAAGTAGTATTCCACAGAAATGTTTATTAAGCATAAACTACCACTCAAGTTCATGGGTCAATGGTTTTCAAAGGTAGGTTCGGTAATTACAGATAATAAAGACTTAATAATCTGTAAAAGGGAAACTGAAATTAGGTGCAAGGAAAGAATCTTATCTTGTTTATACTCTTCTTTTATTTCTTCCTTTAGAGTAGTTCTCAAATGAAGTTGAGAAATAGCATCATCTGAGAAGACTTTATTCCAAACTATATATGCCCATGATCCCATTGTAAATACTCTGATGATGTATGTCTGGGTATAACCAGAGACGTGTGTTTTTGAAAAAGTTCTCCAGCCAAGACTAATATGCACCCCTAGTAAAGAACTACTCTCAGCCAGGTGCAGTGGCACATGCCTATAATCCCAGCAGTTTAGGAGCTATGCCAGGAGGATAAAATGTTTAAGGTTAGCCTCAGCAACTTAGTGAGACTCTGTCTCAAAATAAAAAACAAAATGGCTGGAGCTGTAGTTCAATGATAAAGCACCCTGGGTTCAATCCTCAGTACCAAAAGAAAAAAAACCTCTTTCACAGATGATCTGTATGATATGATATATATTTTAACCCTACAACTCTGAAAATAATTCTTAGTAGTATATGAGAATTGGGTATTTCTATCAGAAAGAGAGGAAGAGGGGAAGAAAGAGAAAAGAAAGGAGAGAGGGAAAGAAAGAGGAAAAGGAAAAGAGAAAGGGAAACAATTTTGAGCTAAGATTCTCAATTCCTGCTCACTCTAGTTCAAGTAGCCACCAGACACTTTATTATTCCATTTTGTGTTGTTATAGTAGAATACCACAGACTGTGTAATTTATAAAGAAATTAAATTTATGTATCATAGCTCTGATGGCTGGAAAGTACAAAAGCATGGTTCCTGCATCTGAGAAGAACCTTTATGCTGCATCATCCCATTATGCAAGGTGGAAGGTCAAGAGCACGTAAGACAAAAAGACAATGGGAGCCCATCTTATCCCTTAATTAGGAGCCCACTCTCAATATACCTAACCCACTCCTATGATAATTATGTTAATTCATTCAAGAGAGCAGAGCCCTCATTTCCTAATCACCTCATAAAGGTCCCACTTTGAAATACTGTCAGAATGGCAATTAAATTTCAACATGAGTTTTAGAGGGGACATTCAAACTATAGTAGACCACATAGATACTCTAGGCTCTAATGACTCTAGGCTATTCATAATTCCATAAATCACAGATCTGTAATCTGGAGTACACACCAGAAAAACTGGTAGGGCTTTTTCAAATTATACACTAATAGACTACCATCCCTGAAGCATCTGATCGAGTTGATTGTGGTTTGGGACTCTAGATACATCTATTAGAGGGAGAAAGTTCTGGAGTAATTGGAATAAACGGTCTTAAAGATTCTCTTCTATATCTCTCCTGTAAGGGTAGGTACCAGTCATAAACAACCAACACATTTTACACATTTATTCATAATTTTCTATGTGCCAGACACTTTTTTAAAACAATAGCTTTATTTATGTATAATTCATATACCAACAAATTTTTTTAGGTACACAAATCAGTGGTCTTTTAGTAAATTTACTGAATTGTGTAACTTCATGATAACTCTTACATTATTTTCTTTCCTTCAGGGTCCAATGATAACCACCCTGACTGTGGTAAATCAGTTTTAGAATATTTTCATTCTCCCCATTAAGTGCCCTCATTCCCAACACTCACCACAGACATCCACTTACCTAATTTTGTATCTATATATTTGCCTATTCTGGACATTTCAAACAAATGGAATCATACAATTTGTTTTTTTATTACTGGCTTCTTTCACTTAACATAATATTTTTTAGGTTTAGCCATGTTGTAACAGGTATCTATACTTCATTTCTTTTCATGGTTGAAAAATATTCCATTGTATAGAATAATATACACACTTTGTTTATATATTCATCAGACATTTCAGTTGTTTCCACTTTGGGGCTATTATGAATAATACTGCTATGAACATTCATATAGAGGTTCTTGTGTGAAAATGTGTTTTCAATTCCTTTGGGTATATGCCTAGGAATGGAATTGCTGGGTCATAGTAATTCGATGTTAACTTATTAAGGAACAAACTATTTTCCAAAATAGCTACATCATTTTACATTCCCACCAGCAATGTAAGAGGGTTCTCATTTCTCCACATCTCCACTTCTTATTGTCTTTTTCCTTATGGTAATTCTAGCAGATGTGAAATGGTATTTCATTCTATTTTCAATTTTTTGAGGAAATTATATAATGTTTTCCATAATGGCTGACTAATGTTCATTGCCGCCAACAGTGTGCAATGATTCCTTTTTCATACATTCTCACCAGTACTTACTATATTTACTCTTCTTGAGATTAGGCATTCGTACCAGAGTGAGGTGATACCTCCTTGTAGTTTGACTTCCATAACCCTGATGATTACTGATACTAAACACTCACTTACCACTTATATGTCTTTTGAGCAAAATCTATTTCGTCTACTACCATTTTATTTTTTGCAGTGCTAAGGATTGAACCCAGAACGTGCACATATTAGACAAGTACTTTACCACTGAGCTACATCACCAACCCTTTTTTAAGTTTTATTTTGAGACAGGGTCACACTAAGATGCCCAGGCTGGCCTTGAATTTGTGATCCTACTACCTTAGCCTCCCAAGTAGCTGGGATTAGAGATATGCACCACTATGCCCAATTACTGCACATTTCTTAAGTTTATCTATTTGAATGTAGATATCCACTTTTCTTAGCACCATTTGTTGAATAGGATATTTCCTCTCAATAAACTGTCTTGGTACTTTTTTTCAAAATTCAATTGAGTGCTGGGATTGTAGCTCAATCATAGAGCACTTGCCTAGCACATGTGAGGCAATGGGTTCAATCCTCAGAATCATATAAATAAATAAAATAAAGGTATTATGTCCATCTACAACAAAAAATATTTTTTTAAAAAATTTAATTAATTGCCATGTGTGGTGGCTCACACCTCTAATCCCAACTACATGGGAAGCTGAAGCAGGAGGATCACAAGTTTGCAGCCAACCTAGGCAAAATAAAATTTTAAAAGGCCATGGGAATAGCCCAGTGGCAAAGCACTTGCCTAGCATACACGAGGCCCAGTGGGTTCAATCCCCACTACTGAGAATCATAATAACAATAAATCAATTGATTATAATGTAAGATTTATTTCTTTCTGGATTCTCAATTCTGTTCCATTGATCTATATGCCTATTCTTATGCTGGTACCATACTATCTTTTTTTTAAGAGAGAGAGAGAGAGAGAGAGAGAGAGAGAGAGAGAGAGAGAGAAATTTTTAATATTTATTTTTTAGTTTTCGGTGGATACAACATCTTTATTTTATTTTTATGTGGTGCTGAGGATCCAGGAGAGCACGTTACAGCTTGAGCCACCTCCCCAGCCCCATACTATCTTAATAACTGTAGCTTTGTTAAAACTGAGTTGCTGTTTCCTGAAAACATCATGTTCTATTTCACCTCCAGGTGATTACACATGATGTTCCTACTGCCTAAAACAGTCTTATCCTGCTTAATTCTTACTTATTTTCCAGGAGCAAGCTCAGAAATGGTTTGTCAAGAAAATCTTTCCTTGATTTCAAATGTTTGGGTTAGGTGCTCTAGATCATCCTATTATTAACCCTATCATTGCATCACCAATTTGTATTGTACTTGAAGGTTTACAATCCTCCATGATTGCAGGAGTCCCCTCTAACCCATTCAACAGTCACATCTCCACTGCTTTGTACAGTGCATGATACATAAAAATGATCATTATATATTTGTTGAAGAAATCAGCTGATTCTGTTTCTAATAACGAATGCATAAGTAATTTGAACTAAATTTCCTGCTGAAAACCACAAGAAAATGGGGCAAGACATAAATTACATGTCATATCATTATTAAAAGGCAATGCAGCCAAGAAGAGTGGCACATAATCTGTAATACCAGCTGCCAGGGAAGCTGAGGCAGGAGGACTACTTGAACCCAGTAGTTTGAGGCCTGCCTCAGCAACATAGTGAAACCCCATCTCAAAACAAGCAAACAGAAAGCAATGCAGTATTATGGAGCCAAGATGTTGAATAAAAAGAAAACACCGAGAAGTTGTTTTTCTGTTACAGTCTGTTACAGTCACTGGCTGATTATAGAAGAGCCAGCTGAGATAGCAAAGCTTTTGACAGATTCATAAAGCTAAGAGTACAGAAATTGTAATTCAGGATACATTGAGGAAGGGGAATGCTAGAAAAACCCTTAAGCTTTGAGTTCTAATTTAGAAGGGACAGATGCTAAAAAGAAGGGTAAATCAACCTTCATTTGGCCTGAAGCCCACTTCATAGTATCTCAATCTCAAGCATGAACCCTTTCTGGATAAAAATAAGTGAGGCCTCAAATAATCTCTACTATAATTTTTCATATACAATATTTGTTATTCTATCAAAACTAATAAGACATTAAGAAACAGCCAAAGTAATAGAAGATCAAGATATGCAATATATAATAGAAACACACTCTCAAGGATTGGGATAATTGTTATCAAATGGAGATTATTACATAATTATGATTAATACTTTCAAAAAAGAAAAGATTTGGGGGCTTGGGTTTTGGCTCAGAGGTAGAGCACTCGCCTGGCACATGCAAGGCGCTGGGTTTGATCCTCAGCACCACATAAAAATAAATAAATAAAATAAAGGTAATGTGTCCAACTACAACTATAAAAAATATTTTAAAAAAAGATGGTGGAATGAGATGGATATTATTACCCTAAGTACATGTATGAAGACACCAATGGTGTAGATATGCTTTGTATACAACCAGATATACGAAAACTTGTGCTCTATATATGTAATAAGAATTATAATGCATTCTGCTGTCATATATAACAAAGTAGAATAAAAAATAAATTAAAAAATATTTGATTCTGAGTTTTGACAAAGAACTGAGCACTATTCTAAAAAAATAACCAGGGGCTAGGATGTAGCTCTGTGGTAAAGTCTTGCCTAGATTCAATCCCCAGCACCACAAATAAAGGAACCAAAGGAAATAAAAATATATGTGATAAACATGGTGGCACATGCCTATAATCTCAGCTTCTTGGGAAGCTAAGGTAGAAGAATCACAAGTTTAAGACCAGCCTTGGCAACATTACGAGATCCTGTTATCCCCTCTCAAAAAATATATATGCGCATATATATACACATATAGATACACACATATATGTACGTGTATACATATATATGTATGTGTGTGTGTGTGTGTGTGTATGGCAGATGATACTCAGAACTCAATGGGTGAGTTTAATAGATTATACAAAGGTGAAAAAAGAATTAATGAATTATAAGGTAGATCAGAAAAATATCTAGAATAAGTACAGAGAGGAAAAGAAAATCAAAATATAGAAAAAAGTATGAAAGAGATATAACAGATGCTGAGAAAATACCTACAAGTTTGCTATGGGCTAAATGTGTCTCCCCAAAATGCATATGTTGAAATCAAATTATCAGTATGGTGATATTAGGAAGTGAGGCCTTTGGGAGGTGATTAAATTATGAATACATTCCCTTCATGAATGAGATTAGCTTCCTTACAAAATAGTCCCAAGGGAACACTTTTATCCCTTACATCCTGTGAGGATACAGCAAAAACGTACTATTCTATAAACTAGGAAGTAGACCCTCACAAAACACCAAATCTGTCAGTGCCTTGATCTTGAAATTCCCAACCTCTGAAACTGTCAGCAATAAATACCTATTGTTTATAAGTCACTGAGTTTATAATATTTTGTTAGAGCAGTCCAAATAGACCAAACTAACACAAAATAGTAACTGAATTTTTTAAAAGAAAGAGAATAAGGTACAGTGGTGCACATCTATAATTCTAGCTACTAAGGGGGGCTGAGGTAGGAGAATCTCAAGTTCAAGGTGAGTCTCAACAACTTAGTGAGACCCTATCTCAAAATAAAAAATAAAAAGGTTAAGTACAAAGGGCTGGGAACATGGCTTGTGGTAGAGCAACCCTGGTTTAATCCTCAGTACTTATAAAAAGGCAATTTTCTTCAAAGAAGCAAATATAAAATTTTCAGCTATTTCCCGGCAGGAATAATGGAAGCCAGTAGGCAATAACATGGTATCTTCAAACTACTGAAAGAAAAAAAAAAAAAAAAAACTACTAACCTAGAAAAATCATCAATAGTAGACACATACTAAAGGACATGTTAAAGGGTGTTATCAGAGCAGAAGGACATTATCCCAAATGGAAACTTGGGAAGGAATTAAGGAATGAAAAGTAATTTAAAAAGTAAACATAGGAGAAATCTAAATGAATTTGGTTATAAAACAACAATAATGTCTTTTGTGGACTAAATGGCTGTTTGATTTAATGGTTTATTTCACTTAGCATAATGTCTTCTAGATTCATCCATATTGTCACAAAAGGCAGGGTTTCCTTTTTTTTTAAAGGTTTAATATTATTGTATCATGTGTATATACCACATTTGTTATCCATTCATCCATTGGTGGACATATATCTTGCCTATTGTAAATAGCGCTGCAATGAACATGGGAGTGCAGATGTCTCTTCCATACATTTCATTTCTTTTGGATATATACCCAGTAGTAGAATTGTTGGATCATATGATGAATGTACTAATTTATATTACCACCATGAGTGTGTGAGGGCTCCCCTTATTTTTATCTCTTCACCAACACTGTTGATCTTCCTTTTTTTTTTTTGTTTTTTGTTTTGTTTTGTTTTTGGTGGAGGGCAGGTACTAGGATATGGAAACCAGAGCCTTGCACATGCTAGGCAAGTGCTCTAACTACTAAGCTACATCACCAGCCTTTTGTTTTGTTTTGTTTTGTTTTGAGACAGGGTCTCTCTAAGGTGCTCAGGGTGGCCTTGAATTTGTGAACCTCCTACCACAGCCTCCCGAGTCACTGGGGTTGTAAGTGTCTACCACTGCACCTGGCTCTTCCATATTTTTTTTTAATGGTCATTATAACAACTATTAGGTGATACCTCATTGTGGTTTTGATTTACATTTCCCTGATAATTAGTGACACTGAGCATTATTTTCATATACTTATTGTATGTCTTCTTTTAAGAAATGTTTATTCAGGCCCTTTGCACACATTCTAATTGGGTTATTTGTTTTCTTGGTATTGAGTTGTTTGAACTTCTATATTTTGGATATTAATCCCTTATGTTTATGCAAATATATTCTATTCTATAAGTTGTCTCTTCACTTTGTTGATTGTTTTCTTTGATGTGCAGAAGCTTTCAGTTTGATGTAATCTCATTTTTCTATTTTTGCTCTTGTTGCCTGTGCTTTTGGGGTCATATCCAAAAAAATCACTGCCCAGACTGATGTCACGGAGCTTTACCCCTATGCTTTCTTCTAGTAGTTTTATGGTTTCAGGTCATACTTTAATCTATTTTGAGTTGATTTTTATATTGTGTAAGATAAGGATCTAACTTCATGATTTTCAATGTGGATAGCCAGTTTTCCCTGTAGCATTTATTGAAGAAATTGTCCTTTCCCCATTTTGTGTTCTTGGCACCTTTGTAAAAAAAAAAAAATCAATTGACCATAAATGCATGGATTTATTTCCAGGCTCTCTATTGTGTTCCATCCATCTATGTGTCTGTTTTTATGCCAGTACCACGCTGTTTGATGACTGTAGCTTTGTAGTACATTCTGAAGTCAGGTAGTGTGGTGTTTTCAGCTTTGCTTGTTGTTGTTGTTATTATTGCTGTTTTGTTTTGCTTAGGGTTTAGTTTTGGGGTTTTAGGTTTTTAGTTTTGTTTAGTTTGCTTAATATTACTTTGGTTATTTGAGATCTTTTGTGGTTACATACAAATTTTAGCACTGTTTTTTTTCAATTTCTATGACAAATATCATTTGATGGAAATTGCACTGAATTGGCAGATCTCTCTGGGTAATATAGACATTTTAACAATATTAATTCTTCCAATCTATGAACACAAACAATCTTTCCATTTGTTTGTGTCTTCTTCAATTTCTTTTATCAATGTTTTATGAGTTTCCAGTGTACAGGTCTATCATCCCCTTAGTTAAATTTAGTTCTAAGTATTCTTTGGCATATATGTCTTAAATTCCTGAATCTAGTGAGATATCAAATATAGTATTTAATCCCTCCCCAGGGCAAAATGACTTCACTACTTCTACCAAACATTTAAGGAAGAAACATTATCAAAATTACATAAGCTTTTATAGTCAAAACATTAAAAACAAACATTTTTAGCTACTGTAAGGACAGCATAACCTTGATATCCAAACCTGATAATAAAAGAAAATTGTATACTAAACTTACTCATAAATATAGATGCAAGGATCCTAAATTTCATTTCTTTTGGATATATACCCAGTAGTAGAATTGTTGGATCATATGATGACTGTACTAATTTATATTCCCACCAAGAGTGTGCAAAATGTTAGCAAAACAAATTCAGCCATATATAAACTGAATAAGACATTAGGAATAAATAGGGTTTTTCCTAGGGTGCAAGTTTAATACCACATTAATACATTAAAGGAGAAAAATCATATGGTTATCTCAATACATGCAAGAAAACCATGATTTTACAATGATACAGGAGATCATGAATAAAGCAAAACTCTTAGTAAGCTAGGGTCAGAAGAGAACTTTTTAAATTGATAAAGGTTACCTTAAAATAACTAATAAGAACAATAAAACTACAAGAATCATTAAGTAACAGTGAAATGTTAAAAGATTTCTCTCCAAAACTGAAAAGAGAAAAAGGAAGCCTTGATATCACTACTTTTTTAAAAATTTTTTATACCTTTATTTTATTTATTTATACGTGGTACTGAGGATCGAACCCAGGGCCTCACATGTACTAGGCGAGCACTCTACTGCTAAGCCACAACCCCAGCATCCCGATATCACTACTTTTTTAAAAGGGTACAGAGGATTGAACCCACGGGCCTGCTACCACTGTGCTACATCCACAGCCCTGATTTTTTTTTTTAATTTTGAGACAGTCTCACTAAGTTGCTGAAGCTATTCTTGAACTTGAGATCCTTTTGCCTCAGCCTCCCCATGCGCTGGGATTTCAGGTGTGTGCCACTGCACCCAGCTTTGCTATCCTACATCTATTTACCATTATTCCAATAGTTCAATAAGGTAAGAAAGCCACTAAAATAAGGTAAGAAATGAATTTCTTAAAATATATAATTTGGAAAGGAAAAAAATAATTTTTTTAATTATCATTTTTTCACAAGCCATTTGATAGTATTTTGGAAAATTCAAAAGAACATACAGATATAAGAGTAATAAAAGAATTCATCAAGTCTCTGTATACAAAGTCAATATATAAAAATAAATTTTATATAAATTTTTATATAAACTAGATTTCTAAACATCAGAAATAATCAATTAAAAATTAGATTAAAATTATATATCCCCCCCAGGTTGAGTTTTCTATGAAGCAGAATGAAAGACATAGAATACCACATAGGGCTTTTATTAGGAAGAGTTTATGGGATTAACACATTGCAATTAAAGGGAAAATATTAGTCCCCAAAAAGCCATAGCCAACTTCATAGTTCTTGACTAGATATGGCCCTCTGAAGATTTCCCAATTTGACAGAAAGGGAAAGGAATTTATATGAACATTACTTTGTCATTAAATGCAAATTGCCCTGGAAGAGGCTTCTCCTTGGGTGAAACAGTTTTCCTCAACCAAAGAATACTCAAAAGAGCACTCTTTACTGAGATTGGACTTCAACAATTGAGGGAATGAGTCCTTAATTCTTAAAATAGGATTTGAATTGTGGATCACAATATCCACCATAGATAACATCTATAATGGCATAAAAATAAACAAAAAACTTAGAATAAGTATATACAAACTTAGAATAAGTAGATATCTAACCTCTACAGAAATGTAAATTTAAAAAAGTATTATCAAGAAAAAATAAAGAAAAGCTACAAAAATCCCAACAGGTTTATTTTTTGTGTTTGTGTATGGGACATGCTGACAAGCTGATTCTACAATACCCATGGAAATGCAAAGGGCCAAGGGTCAAGAATATTCAATATATTTGGGGGGGGCGACCAGGAATTGTACTCAGGGGCACTTGGCCACTGAGCCACATCCCCAGCCCTATTTTATATTTTATTTAGACACAGGGTCTCACTGAGTTGCTTAATGCCTAGCTTTTACTGAGGCTGGTTTTGAACTTGCAAATCCTCCTGACTCAGCCTCTTGAGCTACTGGGATTATAGGCATGCACCACCATGCCCAGCTTTTCAATATATTTTTAAAGATTTTTTTAAAGATGAACACAATATCTTTATTTTGTTTGTTTATTTATTTTTATGTGGCGCTGAGGATCAAACCCAGTACCTCACATGTGTGAGGCAAGTGCTCTACTGCTGAGCTATAACCCCAACCCCTTCAAAATACTTTTAAAGAAAGGAAACAAGGTGAATGAACTTGCTTTTCCAAATATCAAGAGTTTATTATAGCATCCAGTGATAAAGACTGTGGTATTTGTGTGCTGCTGTTTGTCCCTTAAGGTTTTATATACTGGAGACTTTATATGCACTGTGGCAGTATTGAGATGGTGGAATCTTTAACAGTTGAGACCTAGTGTGAATTAGGTCATTGTTGGTGCTGCTTTCAGGAGGGATTATTGTTTTTCTTGAATACTGAGTTAGTTCTCACCAGAGTAGTTTATTATGCAGTGATGCAACCTCATGCAAATTTGCCCTCTTCTGCACATGATTATTTCCCTTTCCACTTCTCTGCCATGTTATGACTCGTCCAAGGGGCCTCCACCAGAGCCAAGCAGATGCTGGTACAATGCTCTTGAATTTACAAGACTGTGAGCTAAATAAACCTCTTTTCTTTATTTATTCAAAATTTATTTTTTCTTTTATTTATTCAAAAAAATCCAGCGTTGGGCTGGGGGTGTGGCTCAGTGGTAGAGTACTCGCCTAGCACATGCAAGGCCCTGGGTTTGATCCTCAGCACCACATAAAAATAAATAAATAAAATAAAGGTATGATGTCCAACTAAAACTAAAAAATAAATATTTAAAAAAATCCAACCTCAGTTATTTTATTATAGTGACATAAACTGGATTAATGACCAACAGAAGACAACAAATCTTTGTAAAACCACCTTGCATGTATGCAGACACTTTAATTATAACAAAGGTGAAAATGTAGAGAAGTAGAGAAAAATCCTTATTTATATGGAAAGAAGTGGAGCTTGATTTCTATGTCTCATCATACACAAATATTGGTCCTAGGTGGATTGTAGCTCTGAATTTGAGTGGCAAAAGGAGGATAAAGCTTCTAGAGGATAATACAGGAGACTGACTATGTATACATGATATCAAGTTAGAAATATATTTCTTAAATAAAACAACAACAACAAACCCTAACCACAAAAAAAATAATGAAAAACATTGACAATTAAAATTAAAGACTTTCGTTCATCAAAGTATACCACAAAGAAAGATAAGCCACAGATTTGGGAATGGTTTGGCAACATAAAAAATACAAAAATGGTTCATAGCCAGGCCATATAAAGAATTCCTACAAATCTATAAGAAACTATCTATAAGAAATGGGCAGACAACTTGACAGAAAAACAAGCAAAAAAATTATACACACACTTCATAGAACATATTCAAAGGAATAACAAAAATATGAAAAAGAGCACAACCTCAGTAGACTGCTGAGAAATGTCAATTAAAATCACGAGATATTACTACAAATCCACCTACCAGAATGGCTATGATTAAAAGGAACAATAATACCAAGTGTAAATAAAGATGTAGAACAATAGGAATTCTTATACATTGCTGAAGAAACTATACATTGTCAAGCCTTTAGAAAGATTCTAGTTATCAATAATGTCAAAAATATGCATTCCCTATGATCCCACAATCCTCATCCTAGGTATATACCCAACAAAAATTCAAATACATGTAACCAAAGAGCAAGTACAATAATATTCATGACAACATTATTTACAATTTCAAACTGGAATCAATCCATATACTCATTATTAAGGAATATATAAACTATGATAAATTCAAACAAGGGAAAATATAAATGTATAAAAATACAAATTAAAAACTACAGCTGTATGCTACATGAATGGATATCACAAATTTAGTGTTGATCAAAAAATGTTAGAGCCAGAAGAATACATAATGTTTGATTTCATTTATATAAAGTTCAAAATGGATAAGACTATGATGTTAGAAGTCAGAATAATCATTAACTTTGGAAAGTGAGGATAATACTGGGATAGGTATGGGAAAAATGAGAGATTATAGGATGCTACTAATATTCTATTTCTTGATCTGTATCAGTAACACCATGTTCACCGTGTAATAATTCATCAATCTCTACAATTATGATGTGTGCACTTTTCTGTATGTATGTTATACTTCAATACAAAAGTAAATAAAAGGAAAGGTTTTGAACTTGCAAAGGAAAATAAATGAAGAGCTAAGTGCTAGGAATTTATAGAGGAGTCAGATAAAGACAGTCCTCTAGGAGGGTTGCCCTGTAGGCAAAGCAATTGGTTTCTCTTGGTAATATTCTTGGGAATTAAGTGACTTCAGAAGTTCTGTAGTATAAAGAGATTTTCTCCATAGGTAGTTACAGATAAATTATAGATCATTTTTCACAAGATCTAAGAGAAAAAGAGAAAGAAATGAGACCTAAGAGCAAATAAAACATCAAACAATATATTACAGAAAGCTTTTTGCACCACCTTAGAGGAAGGTGTGAAAATGGGAAATGAACACATGGTTGGGGCTCTTCTCTATTTCACTTTCTAACTATTTTAGAAACCAGTGAAACATTACCATTGGAACTACTTACTCACCTAAGCATAGCTGACAGTTCATAGGCTTAGCAAGACCTGAGGAAAAGAGGCCTATTTTATAAAAAGAAAATGTCTTTGTTTTACATAAACATCCCCAAAGTTCCAAAATAATATTCAACTTAACAAGTATTTGAATGTCCAAACTGTAACTAGCACTGAAAAGGCATTGTGGAAAAAGACAAAAAAAGAAGATAGATTTCTGAGGAGTTCCAATGTAAAGACACATTTTTTATTAAAAACAATAGCAATAACAACAGAGAATGATCCCAAGATAGAATATAGCAAATGGCTTACAGGAGTAAATAAAGTTAGAGAATCAGAAAATAATATGGGTATAATGAAGCCAGCTGATCAAGAACCTTGAATGTCACACTGAAAACTCTGGAGTTAAACCCATAGAAAACCACTTCATGTGGATCACACATCTCTAAAATAATTTGTGGGCTCATTCATTATGTTCACCTTGAATCACCTACTTAATTTCTTTTTCTTTTGTTTGTTTTTATTTGTTTTGCTTTTTGTACTAGGGATTGAATGCAGGAGCACTTAAATACTGAGCTACATCCCCAGCCTTCTTTTTTTATTCTGGGATAAGGTCTAAGTTACTGAGGGTCTTACTAAATTGCTAAGTCTGGCTGAAAATTTGTGATCCTCCTGACTCAGCCTCCCGAGTTATTGGGATTATAGGAGCATGCCACCATGCCTGGCACACCTAGTTATTTTCGTGATCAATCAGCCTTAACATAGTATATCAAATCTGGATATACTAATGGTTTATCTAGTTATACCAACAAATGTTTTGTAGAAAGTTAAGGTTGACTTTTATGACATCACCTCAGGTAATTAGGAAACAAATCTCAAATACTGAATAAGTACTGAATAAAGTACTGAATAAGTTCTTATTGTTTTAACCATAGTTTAGACTATCACTTGGGGCAATGAGTTGAATGAGATACTACCTTTAATTATCTCTCTCCTAAAATCATTTCCTGGCATTAAAAGATATCTAATACTAATTTTGTATCTGGCATATCAGACTTTCTATTTACTGAATTGGATTATTAAATTACACCAACATGTTAACCATACTCATCTCTCACTTGATTTGGAAGACTTTGATCATTTCTCTCTCCAGACGAAAAACAACAACTAGGATACACCTCCATCTTTTTGATCAACTTAATTTGGTTTCTGGGGACTTTTATCAGCTGTTAGGTTTTTCTTGAGGAATAGCCACCAAACTTTTCTGTCTGGTTATAGGTGAAAATTCACTTTTGATCTTTTACATGGAAAAGATAAGGGTTGTGTTTTGTTGTTGTTGACTCACTTTCTGAGGCTGCCCACTACATTCTTGACCCCTGAGTAGCACAATCACAACTGGACCAACTACTCTGTAGAATGAGCCAGTGATTATTATTTTATTTTTATATTGTTTATTATCTGATTCAGATACTAATAAGATGTCTCTAGCCCTTAAGATTACCTCCACCAAGTATCCAAATAAATCTATAGCTACTCAGCTGCTCCAGCCACAGGAGACAATTATGATTCCAAAAAGTCTGAGGTGACTCTCTCACTTTTTATCATCAGTAACCATACCCTTACTTAGAAGACTTTCTTAATATTTTCCTTGGAGAAACTTTGTTGGTCTCGCTACTTTATATCCTCACTGCACTGACTTCCTTCTGTATCTAGTTTTAAAAGCTTTTAAATCAAGTTATGACATTTACAGTGGTTTCTATGATCCATTTTTTGAGTCATAACTGAGAGTCTAGAGCCCATCATCTCCTAAGCATGGATAGGTTTACTTTTGCCTAACTGCAATGACCTTATGCAGTGAAGTCCCTCAGACTGTTCTGCTCACTAGATCTTGTGAGATATTCCTGCCATTTATTCTTGTCAGCTTGCCTTCATTCCTTGCAGATAAACTGGTGAGAAACCTGAATACATTGCCCATTGGAGGGTGCATAGTTTTATCTTTCTTCCTCTCTATCCAAGAGTTGCTGTAATAGCAGCTGTTTGGGTTGAAAAACTAAAATATAAAAATATGACCTACGTGGCCAAATCCCACAAGGCTGTTTACTTCCTTATTTATGAATCAGAATCTGTCAGCACAACTTAGAATTTTGACTGTCAGCAGATACTGCAATTAAATGTCCCTGCAAAGCCAGCAGAGGGTGCACCAGGGCACTAGAACTTTTACCCAGGATGTAGTAGTACTAATTTAATACTCATCAACTTTTCCTTTATTTATTTATTCATGCATTTATTTATCATATACTAAAACCAATATCCTCTAAAGACACTGAAATTGGATCTGAGCTGGAATCCTTCCAGAGTATACTCTTAAGTCTCCTAAAAGTGAAGATTAGGATGAATAAGGACTACAGGGTTAAACTTAGTCTGGTCAAAATGTAGGTAGAGTAAAGCAAAATGACACAAATCTGTGCCCTCTGCTTTGTAAAAATTCTACTATGGAGCTCCACCCTATTCCCTCTCTTTGCCAAAAAAAATGGCTCAGTATGTAGAATGCTACATGGGAATGGGCACTAAACTGCAAATTAGGAGAGCGACTCCATCCTAGTTTTGACTCTATGTGATCTCACGCAAGTCACTTTCCTCTTAGAGCCTATGTTCTTCAAGGGAATCAAATAAAATAGACTTAGGTGGCCCCTTACAACTCTTAAGAACCTCCAATTCAAAATTGATGTCAACAAACCTAGAGAGCCAGTATCCTTGCTTCTACTGTTCAGAAAGATGAAAACAGTAAAGGACACAAGACAGAAAGTTTTGTTTTAAACCTAGACAAAATTATTTTAGTGCTACCCAAATGGCAGGCAACTAAAATATCATTGCAAACCTGTGAGAGTCTCATGCCATCACAGAAGCCCTAGAGTACAGCTGTCTACTAATCCTCAGTCTATAAACATGGCTCTATCCATCCTGAATGCCAAAAAGTCTTGGCCACCATTTGACTAAGAAAGATGAATTCCTTCATCTTTTCCCAGAATATCAATGTTCAGCTGCTAAGTATTTCTATTGGGCATGGAGAAAGGGGTAAATAAAGGAACCAGAATCCTGGCTAATTATCATTTACCTACAGTGTTTAAAGTTTCAAGTATGAGAAGCATGTCTGCTGATTCTTTTTTTGATAAGCTGTTATATAAGTTGGAGTGTGCTAGCAAGACATTTTAAGGCTCAGGGCAAGTTTACAAGGCACATTGTAAAAAAGAAAAATGACAGTCCCAACATCACAGTAAGTATCATGAATGTGATGCCACTATCAATCATACAACTTTGGATGGAAAGACAAAGTAGCACAAATAAGGTTTAAGAATTGTGACAATGATTCTGGATATAGTAGTAGGTATAGAAGGCTGAGGTCCCTCAACTTGAGGAACTTATTTGCACAACTTGCACTCTTCTCCAAGAAGTACAAATTCACTATTTTCCTTTAACCAGCTCCAAAGGATCACTGGATGCTTCTTCTAAGTTTCACATGTAAGACAAAATATGGCAATCAAGATAATACTTATATTAACTGCACTAAATTTACTTGAATAAAGAGCTAAGAGAAAGCAGAAACGAAACACCAAAGTTAATGGTATGCTAACAGAGGCACAAACACCATAAAAATTGAAAAAAAAAAAAAAAAAAAAAAACAACCTGCACTTGGGAGACTACTCCTGAGTTCCATTGGTAGATTCCTGTTTTTAAGCTAGCAGTAACGAAAGCGCTTCCCTCCCACCTTCCAAAACGCAACACCCCCATTCAAATAATAAAAAATAAGTCAGAACCGGCATGCAAAGGGTGAGTTTTATTTCCATAGATTTTTTAAACTGCTGTTCAGAAGTTGTCTAGCAAGACGGCATATTTCTACCAGAATTCCTCAGGGGCGCTGATCCTCACTAGAACGCCGAGGACAATCAGTCTCAAATTGCAGGTAAGTGTGAACAAGCCCACGTTCTGGTCAGCGCACAAGGACCCCGCGCTGAAAGTGTGGTTAAAAGTTGTTTCAACGGGCTTGGAGCAGTTATTTCAGCTGTTTACAACTCCAACTCCAAAGAAGAGTTTGCTAGTGCTGGCATCAACTCTGGACGCGAAAAAACAAGCACCGCGGGCAGAGAATCTCAGCAAGAGCAGAAGGGCCAAGCTGCTCGCCGTTAGTCGGCTAGGGGGGCAGCGCGGGCACCTCCTCGCCGAGCCCGGGCGGGAGCGTCGCCAACTTTGCCCAAGGCAGCACATAGCCCCGGGCGGCGGGCGCAGGCTAGAGTTTCCAAGTCAAGGGGACCTGAGAGAGTCTGAGCGAGCTGAGCCAGCGACCCAGGACAGACAACCTGCCCTGGACAACCTCTCTCCGGCTCGTCTGCCCCCTCCCTGGTCCTGCCCTCTAACTTGGTTCCAAGTGGCAGAGTACCCTCCGGGCCTTGTGGTGGAGGGCCCCCGCCCTACTCACCAGGGAAGGGGGCCTCCACCGTCACCGCCGCCCCTACTAGGTGACTCACCTGGTGCCGGTCCTGGGAGTCAGGGGCAAGTGTGGTTTCTCCCGGTTCCAACGGCTGCTGTTGAGGTGACGGGTGCCCAAAGTGGCGGGTGATGGGACCATCAGGATCCAGGCCACCGGGGCTGCTCAGGGTGCCAGAGGTGCCCGGGCCACCAAGGCGGGACTCAGCTCCCCGTTCCCGCCGCAACTCTGACCGCAACTCTAGGTAGCAGCACAACGTCAGCAGGTGGAGGGCCAGCGAGAGGCCAAAGAAACCCAGGAAGAGCCGGCAGCTGTTTCCTTCGCCCGCCCGGGCAGGGGCCCCGCGACAGCCGCAGCCTGGGTTCCCCCGCTCCCGTGGCGCTGCCGCAGGCAGGGGTTCCCTGCGCTCTACCTCAGGGTAGCCCATGGCCTCCGGAGACACCCACTCTCTGAGGCCCGGGAGCCGCTGCGTCTGCCTCTGCCGTTCACAACCCCTGACAGGCGACTACTGTCCTGCCATCGGCTGGGGGCTGCAGGGACCCGTGCCTGCGCGACGGTGGCTGGGCGGGACGGAACAGGGAGCAGCCGCATGTGCAGCTCCACTCCGAGGGGTGGGAAAGGGAGGAGGAGGGGCGGGAGAGAGGGGCGGCTCCGCCCGCCGAGGGAATGAGGGAGGAGGTCCCTGTCGACCCCGCCCCATCCCTCAAGGGGCTGCCAGGACGCCCAACCACTGAGCCCGCCAAGCCTCAGCGCCCCGCCCCTTGCTGTTCTACCCGGGCCTCTGGCCGCGGGGCGGGGCCTGGGGGCGTGAGAGTTCGCCTCTCCCTGAGGGCCCCACCCAGCTCTTCCCGCTTGCCCGGTACCAGTTGGTGACTCCTGCTGTCGTTCATCTCTGGACTCCGCCCCGGTTTAACCCTTTAGCGCCAGTACGGGGGAGGGAAGGGGGGCTGAGAAGAATTTGGGAACCTTGGAAAGAAGGTACAGCAAAGAAAAGGAGGCAGGAACTAGCATTAATAGAAATGTTTGCAATTAACTGCAGTTGTTAATAACATCATCCAGTACTTATCTGTTGCTTTCAATCTTCAAAGCGCTTAACAGACGTTAAACTAATTAAAACAGTTCTGGGTTTGGAATGAAACCATGCCTGCTGTGTTTGCAATCCAATGGCTCGCCAGAAGAAAAGGAAACCTAGGAGCCTGGGAGCCAAAGGGACTGGGAATCAAGCAGCCTCCCTCCTGGAGTGTGTCTGGGGGTTCCATCTAAGTCATGGAGAAGGCTACTTGTGCCAAGTGGAACTGAAGTGATATTGGCCTTTGAAAGGCAAAAACTGCCTCTGAGGATTTCTTGATACACCAATTAATTTAACAAATATATATGGATCCCTTTCACAAAGCAGAAGGTGCTGCATGAGAAAATCCACAGTCAGAATAGTTTCTCCTCTTCCACTACTGGGGAACTTTTAAGTGGAGAACATGTGTCTTCAAGGAGCAAATGGGGAAACTGAGGGGCACAGTAAGGTGGATTTTTACAAGGGTGGTCCACAGAATGGCCAGACACTATTGGCATCTCTATTTGCAGGCAACTGTTCTGGCCTCTCCACCCCTCCCATCCTTCCCCTGGAGTACTCCCTGGGGGAAGTTCAACAAGTCAGCCAAATGTTCCAGATGTACACTGCTGCAACTGCAGCATCTTCAACAGCTGCACCAATCAGAAACGGGTTCAGAGGGGAAAAAAAGTGGCAAATGTCAGAACAATAGACCCTGAAATGAAGGATGGAAAGGATTATTTAAGTCAAGAGTCACAATTGACAAGAGTTACTAGTCTCCGATTTTAGAGAGCTAAATGATTGTAGCAGAGGAATCATGCATGGTGTTTTAGCCGCTATGTGCTCTCATTCGTATTTTATTGAGGAATGAATAATTAGCAATTTTATTGACTTGAAGGAGACATCCTGAGTGCTATCAAGGAGGTTTAGTGATGCCCTGGAGCACTTATGGGTAGGCCTAAGATCTAGGCTGATGAGAGAGAAGAAAAATATAGAGGGTAATAGAAAAGAAGACAAAAGAAAAGAACCAAAACAAAACCAAAAGCATGCAGCGGGAAGGTCAGCACAGAGAGCACAGAGGTCATAAGCCTTAAACAGTTTAGCCACAGACAACTTTTCTTCCCTACCCTTTGTGAATTGTCTCAGTGCTTCAAAAACATCTTTTTGTCCTCTCTTTAACCTTAATCCATGAAATAGAAAGTTTACAAAGAATATCATCATCATAATACAGATAAGGGGAAAGGAAGACTTTTAACAGCTGCTCTCAAGTCCTGCTTGTCCAGACCAGGAATTCTAGATGCTAGGAAAACTGCCAGGCTGATTTACCTTAATTATCACAGTCTAGGATTATTGGAAAGGATGTTAGACCAGAGTCAGGAATCTTGACTCTGCCACTAGTTTGCTGGGTCTTTCTTAGCAAGTCACCATGCTTTTGGGAGGGCCTTAGTTTCTCCAAATGAAAAATGAAGAGTTTGAACAGCTATTAAATCGTATTTTATCTGTCTCATCACTGCCTATGACGACTTCGTTACATACTTGGTTTAAAGAGGCCACCCCTTCTTATTCCATAATGAAAGGGGAACAAATGATATCCATCTTCTGGTGGTAGTGGTGGTGGTAATGATGTTCAGGGGCCATACTGGTCTCAGCTTACCCGTGTTCTACCAGGCTTTTAACAGCTTGACTGAGACCCTTGTTTGCATTGTTGCCCTTAAAGACTTGGGAATTAATTGCATCTGACCTGAGACCTCACTTTGGTGCCCCACGGAAAGAACATTTGACTTGATCTGCAATAGAAATAGTTCAGTGGAGCAATCCAGTGAGGTTTTTATGTGGTTTTTCTTTTTTCCTCTGCCTTTTTTTTTTTTTTTTTGTGAGAGGGCGGACTGCCAGGGATCAAACTCAGGACCTTGTGCATGCTAGGCAAAGTAGTCTACTACTGAGATACATCCCCAGACAATGGTTATTCTTTTAAATGTTTGGGTGTCTTAAAGTGTTGCCTCAATTACCTTCTCTGTTTCCACAAGCCTTATCCCCTACAACACAGGTCTCATAATGACAGCCTACAGGCCACATGTAGCAAACAGACATGTTGTATTCGGTGCAATATTGGCTAAAGCTTTGAATTTAAAAAAAAACACCTGGATATGGTGGTGCACACCTGTAATCCCATGGACTCTGGAGGCTGAGGCAGAAGGATTGAAAATTCGAAGCCAGCCTCAAAAACTTAGTGAGGCCCTGTCTCAAAATAAAAACTAAAAATGCCAGGAGTGTATATCAGTGGTTAAGCACTCCTGGGTTCAATCCCCAGTACCAAAAAAAAAAAAAAAAAATTAGTTGTCAACATTTAAAAATCTGGAGATTTCACATTTTTAAAAATATAGATTCCTGCTTTTCTATTTAAAAACAAAACAAAAGACCTGGTAACACTGGATCCACATTAGCCATATGGCTACGTTTAGCTAGAACTGCCCCCTTAGACAAACATGAGCAATCAAGTTCCACACAGCCATTCCTATCTTTTATCTCTGGTCTCCAGTACTATCCTTATTACTCATTTACTTTACCTGTCTGACAAAATATCAGGTCCTAAACACACCTATAATCTGCCTCTCCAGCATTGTCTTCAACCATCCTACGAAGAAATCATGCTCCCATAAAACTAAATTTGTTGTTACTTCTTACATTTCAGCACATTTGCATAGCCAGTTCCTTTACCTAAATGCCCTCACCTTAGAAACCTGATAAATTATTCATGAATCAACTTACATGTTTTTAGTATGGCACTATAACTCAGTCCAAATAGATTTTTCCTTTATGCATTCATTGCACCCTAAATATGATTCAATGATACCAGTTACCACATCATATTTTGAATGTTTCACATGGTTTTCTTTCCACTAAACTGTGATCCCCCTACCCCCTTTTTTAAAGGCAATACTGGGGATTGAACCCAGGGACACTTTACCACTGAGCTACATCTCTAGCACTTTTTATTTTTTATTTTGAGACAGTACTTCACTAAGTTGATGAGGCTGGCCTTAAACATGTGATCCTCCTGCCTCAACCTCCTGAGCAGCTGAGATTATAGGTAAGCACCATCACAATCAGCAACTGAGAGTGTCTTGATGGTAAAAAAAAAAAAAAAAAAAGAAGAAAAAAGATCTTTCCATTATGGTATTCCCAGGGCCTAGCATAGCATCTGCCACACAGTAGGCGCCAGAATTGTTTTTCAGATGAATAGGGCATGAAGTTGGACACAGTGACTTAGACTACCTAGAATTCCAAAACAAGAATTGAATCAAAGGATGCCTGTCAGTACCACTTATGAAGCACCTCCTGGGTGCCCAGCTACATAACATATTATGGAAAGATAAAAAGGAAATAGAACTAAATTATAATTGTGCAATTACTCTTTTATTTGTGCTACTGTGGGAGTTGCAGATAATTCAGAAAAGTAAATAATCCAGAAATTCAAATATAATTGGTTTGCAGTACCTCATCTGGCTTTTCTTTCCTATCAAGTATTCTTTCCTACTCTTGTTTGTATGGGCCTAATATTAAAATAATATTAGTTGACACCCCTGAATAATAAATATTTAAAATAAATTCACAAGTGGGGTGAAGTGGCATAGGCTTGTAATTCCAGCTACTTGGGAGCCTGAGATGGGAGGAACATTGGAGTCCATGATTTGGTGATCAGCCTGGGCAACATTGTGAGACCCTGTCTTGAAAAAAATAAAAGAAGGGCACATGCCTATAATCCCAGCTACTCAGGAGGATGGAGTAGGAGAATTGGAAGTTAGAGGCCAGCCTGGGTAAATTAGTGAAACCCTATCTCAAAATAAATAAAAAGGCCCAGGGTGTAGTTCAGTGATAAAATACCTCTGGGTTCAATCCCTAGTACAAGAAAAAAAAAAAAAAAACAGGTAACAACCCCTTAATACCCACCAACTGAGTAGAAGATGCTACGGATTTGGCGGGGTGGGGGGGGGGCTGGTATTAAATACCTCTTAGTTATGGTTAATCTACAGAATAAATAGACTTAGAGGAGAGAGAGGCAACTCTCTGATCCACTTAGTGATAAGCAGATAGTGGGTGAAATGCAGACTTCTGGACTTAGATACTGGTTAGAATCTCAGCTTTTTCACTTACTTACCAGTTGTATGATTTAGGACAAGTGATTTTTGCTTGTCTTGCAGAGCCTCGGTTTTCTCATCTGTAAGGAGATTATATATATATATATATATATATATATATATATATATATATATATATATACCTTGTTAGATAGCCATGCTTAAATGAGATGTATAAGGGAGGAAAGACTTTCACTCTACCCTCTTAGGGCTCAAAATAATAGAATCTACAAAATAAACTGACAGAAGACAGGTTAATAGGAAAAAAATGTATGGAAAATTTATTATGTATACAAAGGCATCACATGAAAGAAAAGTGAGCTCCCCAAAACACAGTAAGATCCAGAAGCTAATCTACTCTCTTCATGGGGGACAGGGAAGAGAGATGCAGGCAATTAAGAGTAAATGATTTTAAGGAAAGA